TCAGTCCATCACATAACTTAGTAATTCAATATCAACCAAATATAGGATATATGATTTATTTGATACATATTCCAACTTAGTAAATTGGATCAACCAAACAACATAATGTGAACATAAGTACGTTACAACTTTATTTTGTTCTTACAAAATCTCTATTCCATTCCATATTTGTTTGATTCAACAAACCTATCATGCTGTAATATCTTTTGTGACAAGTAAAGAAGATTATAATTACATAGACATCTCAAGTCTTAATTTTTCGATCCTTCCATTCTAAGGTTTTCCTCTTCTGTGTCATTTGCTTTTCTGCTTATACTATTTAGATTCTTCAGTTCATTGCATAGCTAAGTTCTCAAAATTGCTAATTATTTAATTCTTTGTTCTGGAACTTGTGCTCTAGTTTGTGCAGAAAAATTATTGCTGTTTGTACTATAATGATTTCTTGAGGAATCCCTTGTTTATATACAACAGTACAGCCCATATTCTTTCAGATCTGTTACTGCCTTTACTTATGGCTTTAAATTTAAAGTTTGGGCTGTGAGTGCTCGTATTCCTAGTGGTTAGAAGTTTTCTATAGAAAGAGAGCAAACTGTAATGAGTGGAAACTGTCCCTTGGTCATTTTTTGACAGCATTCTAAATGTATAACAATGTTTAAATGTACATGACAATATAACCTGAAGCAGTTCTGAATTTATGCAAATTCATGTTATCTCTTTTATTCGGACTTGTAAGCTTATGAATGTTATTTTGCATATGCTTCTTTTTGTCTGGCTTTGTCAATGGGTTGAAAAGAAGGTTATTTAATTGGTCTGGCAGGGCCAATATTGTTGCCCTTCCATGCAGCATTTTTTCAGAGCTGATTCCTGTCCTGTATATAAACAGGCTAGTCTTCAAGTAGCAATATTTATATTATCTAAAAGTAAAACCAATCTAAATGTACAACCAACCTTTTCTTTTGTAGCATTTAAGAGTGAACAACTGAATACACTTACCGAAGTGAGGCAGTGTGCTCTTAAGATGATTGCATTTAGTCTCGAGTGAAACTTATGATGGCCTTTATCGTCCAAGCAAAAAAAGGAATGCAACCATCCAGCTGTTCGCAAAAAAGTTGGAATTTATGTACACTGCATCTCTACACGTGGCATTTGCATCCATGTGAAGCATGCATACGTTACTGGTAAAAATAGTCTGGAAGTATCTGAGTGTTTTGTTTTACACGTGTCAGAGACTTGTAATTCTCAAGTATAATTTTATTTATTATTCCCAGGTTGATAAGGGGTAATGATGTTTTAATATGGGATTATCCAATTACAATTTAATGATTCCCAGCATCCTTTCAGATTGTCCAACATTTTGACTGCAGCAACGTTCGTTGAAATCAAGGCATTAGTTTGCTTATCATTATTCTTTTAACTGAAGGTTTGCATGTGCTGCCTTAGTTCCCTGAAGAAGCAAGGCTCGTAATCGTCAGGGCCTGGTATGTATGCTTGCTTAAGCATTTAAATAAGCTTTTAATGTATGTGGCAGAGTATATGCTAATAAGCAGCATGCTCTATCAAAATTGGTCTGGCCAAAGACTGAAAAGTTTCCCTCTACCGGGCCAAAATGGGAGAATTCAGTTGCTTTAGTAAATGTGTTTTAGATGATTCACGTGGAAAAAGTACTTGGATGGTGACTTAAAAAGTAAGGGTATTTATACAAAGTACATTCAGACTTCTGTTTCATTGAAGCACTGTTAACATGATTTTACTTTTGAAGAAAAGCCTTGCGTAGAAATTCTGCCCAATTTTTGCTGCTAGAACTTTCTTTTCTTCTTTTACTGAGGCTTTGCTGCTTGAACTAAAGCTTTCATAAGATGAGCTTCTGTGATTGTGTAATTTATTCTTTGCATTGGTGAATCTATCTTGGTGCTTTGCTGGGAAGTTTTGCAAAATTGCATTATTTCTTTTGGATAATTTTTGCAGCGTTTAAATGCTAAAGATTTTTTTTTTTTCTGGACATGCAGTTTTTCTCCTGACAATTTTGACGTGATGACAAGAGCACAGATATGGAGCAAATGACTTCCTGGCAAGCAAAGACAATAAGCAACTTTACAAACAGAAGTAAAGCCATTTATTACCAGGCACCTTCTATCTTGATGGAGTAGCTTCGGAGATTTTAAGTCAAGAATGTCCAATTAGAACACCACAATGGCTTCAATCTGTGAAAATGGTTTACTAGTTAGTGGCTGGTACATCTTCTCATGTGAAGGAAGCTTGCCTGCATTCCTACAGGCTTCTAGCTTTGCATGCTAAAATGGGGAATGGTATTAGCAGTTTGAAGATTGTTGGATGTGGTAAGCATTGATTCCTTGTTTCCTCTCGTTTCCATGTCTTTTCCTTTAGGGTTTCAGAAAGATACTCTTAGTTATACGTTCCTTTTATGTTCTTTTTCCGCCCATGTAGAAGTCGGCAACGATTTTCTACCCATGCAGTGAAAGATGGGAAGCTGCTAGTACAATGTTTCTCCAAGTCTTAATGTCAATCATCTACAACATGAGAAGATGACTGAAAAATATTGTTCAGCTCAGAATCTACACTTTGTGCAACATGATTGTGTTATTTTATTGGTATGTCTATTGAGATCAAAATGGAAATCTGTGTTATTAGATCAAAGTTTGAACAGCTAAGTATATTCAGATTCTAAGAGAGGATAAGGAAGTAGGAATCTCTCACTTTGATGAATGTGTAGCCTATGAAGAAAATAAGTTACGTTAGAATTTTGAACTGTATTTGTAACATTTGAATGGTACTGTGAATTTTCTGGCGCCAAACATTGTTTGTCCATTATAACAATTCAGAATAGTGAGCAGATGGAAGTAACTCAAATCTCAAAATCGTTGGCCTATACTTTTAAAGGGTTTCTTCCTCTGTTACCCTGCTCTCCTGTCTTTTCCTTCTCTCTGTCGTAAAGCTTCTCCATCATTAGCCTTTCTTTTTGAATAACCAATTCTACTTAAAATTTAGGTGAAGAGAAATCCTGTTCCTTTGAATTCATGTAGTCATGCAAGCACTTGTATTATGATCAGATGAATCGTATACTAAACAAAAGCAGAAAGTAAGTACCAGTACAATTGCTTATGTCCTTTTCTCCTGTCAGGCATTGTGAGAGTTCAAATAATTAGAGAAAATAAATCAAGCAGTTAAATGTGTATGTTGTTTCGTGATTCATTCTAGTCGTGTTTTGTATATCCTTTTTTTTTATTTTATTTTTTATTACTTTTTTTGGTTTTAGAATTTATTTTTAATAAATAAAAATCATTGTGCCTTTTTTTCCCCTGTAACTTTTTTCCAGGCAGACTTTCCCTATAATACCCCGCGCACACGGGGAAAAACAAGCAATTTGAGTGAGTGGAAAAAAAGTAGATAGTCTTTCCGTATCAACATTCACCGTGGGACCCACAACGCGCTGCCATGTGGACCCAACTCCATACAGAGTTTCATCCCAGCCGTTGATTTCTTCGCCAATTTAAATAAATAGGGTTTGCGGCTCTGGGACCCTCATTCACTTTGGTAGGGCTCGCAAAGAGGATAAGTTGTGGGGTATTTCGCCTTCCTTAGGGTTTGTTCTTCTGTTCCCTGCTCCAATCTCTCTCTCTCTCTCTCCTCCTTCTCGTAATCTCTGTTTCTCTCTGTTTAACCTAATTTATTATTACAGTTTGCGAAACGACTCGAAAGCCAGTCAACATGTTCTTCGAATATTATAATTAGGGTTCCGGAAGATTTTCTTCTCTTTCAATTTTCTGATAACTTCTGGCTTTATTATGATAAAGTCTCGTTAATCTTTTGGTGGGTTTTTTATTCTTCTGTAACGGGTTTTGCTTAATTTTATCTGGGAGTTGATCGTATCTTGAATTCTTGCTAGGTTTTTGGTTCAACATGGAGGCGAATCAAGAAGGCCGGGCGATACAGGAAATTGATGAAAACGTGATCATCAGAAGCCACAACAACGAGGAAGAAAGCAACGAACTAACAGGGTACCAGCAAGAACCAGGGATTGCTATGAAGGAAGAAGAGCTATCCGACTCAGAGCACCAAGAATTGGACGACTCCTCTCTCCCAGCCGCTCTCGTTCCGGTCATGTCGAAGTCAATTAACCGGGCCGTGGGGACCAAACGTCCGTCAAAAGACCGCCACACCAAGGTTGAGGGCCGTGGCCGTAGGATCCGAATGCCTGCGACCTGTGCCGCGAGGATCTTTCAACTGACTCGAGAGCTGGGTCACAAATCCGATGGCGAGACGATCAGGTGGCTGCTGGAGCACGCAGAGCCCGCCATTATCCAAGCTACTGGAACCGGCACCATCCCTGCAATTGCGGTTTCAGTGAACGGAACTCTGAAGATCCCAACTACTTCTCCGGCCAAGGAACAAGGCGGTGGGGAATTTGCTAGAAAGCGGAGGAAGAGAGCGGCTAACAGCGACTTCATTGATGTCAATGAGCACTGTGCTCACCCCAACTCGGTTTCTTCAGGGCTCGCACCCATCAATACCCCTGCTATGACATGTGCTGGAGTTAATGTGAATGTCAGCCCACAAGGGCTTGTCCCTTTATGGCCTATGGGCACTTTTTTGTTGCCCCCACAGTCTGGCGTTGGTGGGGCTGCCATTGCTGGGTCCAGTCAGACGCAATTGTGGGCAATCCCTGCCGCTGCTACACCCTTTTTCAATGTTGCTGCCAGACCCATAGCTAATTTCGTCTCCGCTATGCAGCCAGGTGGTGCTGGGGTTTCACTAGAAGCAGTGCATGTTGGTGCTAGCAGTGGCGCTATGGGGTCAAGTCTCGCTGCCAGTTCAAGCTCTGGTGCGACAAGTAATGGTTCTACCACCGGTGGAAGCAGTAGTAGTACTAGCGCTGCTGCTGCTAATAGTACTAGCACTACACAGATGCTTAGGGACTTTTCTTTGGAGATTTATGATAAGCGAGAGCTTCAATTCTTGGGTCGTCCTGCAAATCAGGAGACGTCTTGTTCAAAGCCCTAGATTTTGACTAGAAGGAGGATGAAGATGATGGGATATACAGTAAACAGTTAGGGTTGATGCTAGGGTTTTAGAACTTTTTTTTTTTCCTGGTTTTTTTCCTGTAATTCAAGTGAAGAAAAAGAAAACAGATACAGAACAGTTTTTCGTTTTATCTGGAAGATGATGATTATCTGTATTTTATAATTTTATAGGTTCAAGGCCTCGTGTCTTTTTTTTTTTTTTTAATTTTCTTAATTATTATTATCTTTAACTTCTCCCTCCGGTGGAAGGAGTAAAAGGGTTTGCTTTTTGTGAATATAAGGGTGGGTCCCGTTGATGACTCATGTCTGACGTGGATTCCCACGTGGAAGGCGGGTCCCATTTTGGGGATAGAAGATGGTTGGTCAAACGATAAGGAGGTGTTTTCGGGGAGGGCTGATCCGTAGACCAAGCGGAGTGGGGGCAGAATTGGGTCCCACGAGATGTTGTCACGTGAGATTGGCACGTACGTCTAGGGATGTGGACCCGGCTGTTTATTAATTTAATTAATTAATTAATTAATTTTCTGTTTGTGATCCGTTTTGAGTGTTGCTCGTGGGTGGTCCCCATCCAAGTTTTTACGTATGCCAACACGCGTCTTTTGCTGAGTTGTTCTTATGGGGACCACTTGGTTCACTTCTTGACACGTGGTATTATCGGCCTTTTTCTTTTTTTTTTTTAATTTAAAAAAATGGAACGATGGGCCCCACTGCTGGGTACCCACCACCATTTCTTGATCTTTGAATCCTCACAAAAAAAACTTATATTCTTAGTTAATTTTAATTTTTTTAAAAAAAATAAAAAAATCTTCAATAAATATACATAAAAATAAAGGTTAATTACTGTCAAATTCTCGTTATTAGTGGTTATTCCAACACCTTAAAACAAACATTAAGCTTTTTAAATTTTATTAATTTTGATAAAAAAATTCAGTCATAAACAAGTTTATTAAGGAATTTTTTTCTGAAATTATTTAGAAATAAAGTCAATTTTATTGTTCATATGTTCCAAATCGTAATCTTGATCACACAGTTTTATAAATTATATTATATTATATTGACTTTAAAAAATGAAAGTGCTCTGTATTCGTACTCGGTACCTTTTACTTGCGCTTTTGGTAAATACCCTTTGAAGGGGATAACTTTTAGGGAGAACCCAAATGTATACACATGTGCATGCATGTATGTATGTATGTATGTATACTTATTCTCATATTAGGATTTAATAACGAGAAATGACCAAGTATATGAGACTAGATAGAAAACATCTGGTAAGAAAAATAAATTAATTTGAATAAAAATGAAAAAGTAGAACAAAATTATTAAAACCAAACAATAAAACAAAAGTTATTTTACCAACACAAATAATATTTTCCTCAAATACCCTTCACTCCTCATTATCATTCTCTCCAATCTTCCTTTTCATTTTTAACTACAATGGTTGGAGGTTGATTTTTCAAATTGATTATATAATAGGGATAGTCTGAAAATTGAAAAAGAGAAATTCAGCCCATGAATTATGATCCAAGCCTGGCCCTCTATTGAGTTTTTTTTTTTTGGTAGATTCTAATTCCTAAATTCTTATTTCATGTAATTATGAAATAAAAATAAAAATTTAAAAATATAGTGGCAAAAATTATGTAAATAAATACTAAATTTTAATTTTGAAAAGATTTTATTCTGGTTATTAAGATTGTAGTACAGGGTCAGAGAGTATATGAAATTGGAAGTACAGGATTGATGATGATGTAATCTCACCAACTTAACTTTATGTCTGTAAATTAACTAACCTTGATAGCTTTGTTTAAACCAACAGTTTATACCACTACAAATATCTACATATATATATATATATATGCATACACACACACAACCATTCCCCAACTTTCGTTAATTATTTTGACAAACATTGATATATATTGTCACTGATAAAATAATAAAAATAAATTGGATGATGAATGATTTTCAAATAATTTATATTTGTGATAATATATATTTATATCGCTGTGGAATAATTCTTGTAAAATTGAAGTAGTATATGTATGTATATATGTATGTACTTGAAAAAAACAAAGCAGGAGATGTACATACATACGTAGGCAGAAAGCTAGAATACCTGAAATTCAACTCTCTCTAGTCTTTTCTTTCAATTGAGTAACTTGAAAGAACATAAAAACGATCTTGAAATGTTTAATTAATATATATATATATATGTGTGTTTATGTTGATCATTCACTATATAAATATATGTGTATACATACACCCGTTTAACACATCTTCATGCAAAAAAGACCTTCTCCTAAATATTTCTTTCTCTTGAGCTAAAGAAATGGCTGTTTTCGAGCTGAAGAAACTCTTCCTTCCCACCATTTTCCTTCTCTTGCTAACAATTACGCACTCGAATTCAAAACTCGATGCTCATTACTACGATCAAACATGTCCACAGGCTGAAAAAATCATACTCCAAACTGTTCGTAATGCTTCCATCTATGATCCTAGAGTTCCTGCTCGTCTTCTTCGCATGTTTTTCCACGACTGTTTCATAAGGGTATATATATGTAGTGTATTTTGTATGTGTTTTCTTATTCTCTTACTAGCAGTAGCATATATTTTCATTAGTTTATGTTTAAAAATAAATAGATTTTAATTATTTACAAAAGTTATCTTGAGATTTCACACTCAAAAAATTTATATGAAGTGTTATTAAAAAGAATAAAAAGTTTAGTTCTTTAAAATTTTAAGTTATCTAAAAACTTTTTTTAAAAAAATTATTTCTTAATAAAATGTTCATTCTCTCTTAATTGTATTTAATGTAAGTTTTTAGATAAATTTCACAAATACAATTAATTTGTTATAAACATCACCTTAACAGATTAATTTTTATAAATTTATTATTAATAATTAATTATACATTATTTTTTATAATATATAATTTTTATAGGGATGTAATGCCTCAGTATTATTGGACTCGACCCCAGAAAACCAAGCAGAAAAAGATGCTCCTCCTAATATTTCTCTTCGATCATTTTATGTTATCCACGACATCAAATCTAAACTTGAAGTCACATGTCCACATACAGTTTCTTGTGCTAATATACTTACTATTGCAGCTAGAGATGTTGTAACAATGGTAATAGTTATATTAGTAATACTACAAATATTGTAGTTTAACATTCGGTTTAATCATTTTTTCTATATAATACGTATTAATTTACTTTAAATAAATATATATATATATATATAATGTTATTGGAATATTCTTTTTTGTAGTCGGGAGGACCTTATTGGAATGTTTTGAAAGGAAGAAAAGATGGACGGATCTCTAAAGCAAACGAAACCATTAATTTACCAGCACCAACCTTCAACGTTTCACAGCTAATACAGAGCTTCGGCATGAGAGGTTTAGGAGTCAAAGATTTGGTTTCTTTATCGGGAGGACACAGCCTAGGGTTTTCCCATTGTTCTTCTTTTGCTTCAAGATTACATAACTTCAGCTTGGTACATGACGTTGACCCCATCATGAACATTAACTTTGCTTTAGAGCTGAAGAAAAAATGCCCGAAGCCAAACAAGGATCGAAATGCAGGAGACTTCTTAGACTCCACTCCCTCCATCTTCGACAACAACTATTACAAACTGGTGGTGGCAGGGAAGGCCTTGTTTGGATCGGACCAGGCATTGTTTGGCGATGAGAGGACTAGATGGATTGTTGAAAAGTTTGCTGGGGATCAAGATTTATTCTTTAAAGAGTTTGCTACTTCCATGGTGAGGCTTGGAAATGTTGGAGTGGTGGAAAATGGAGAAGTTAGACTTAATTGTCGCTTGATAAATTGAGAGAGAGAGAGAGAAAGAAGATAATTGAGAGAAAAAAGGGAGAGAGGGAGAGAGAGAGAGAGAGAGAGAGATCAGAGAGAAAGAGGTAATAAATAAGCCGGCTATGAATTGATATTACCTATATACTTAAATCATTTCACGTTTATATCTTTTCATTTAATTTCACATTACATATTTGTACTTTTTCTATAAATATAATAAAATTTCTAGATGAAAATTAAGCACTTAAATTCATTAAATTAAAAAGAGATCAAAGGAATCTTCAATTTAACTATATGATTAGCTTCTAGCAGCAAAGAATCTCTTGCAACAGCATGAACAGTAGCATTACAAGCTCTTGGAATCCAAACCAATACAAAAGAAATACAAGACCGTATCTATTGAGACAAATCCTCCAGTAATAACCAACTTCAGACAAGTGAATTATAGGAGTACAATAATATTGGAAGACCATTTTGCTGTCCCCCTCTACCATGGTGGAATATATCCCTTTTGGTTCTTGCTATTTCAACACAAAACAAGAAAGCATATACATGTAATCTCTATGAAAAAAAGTGTTCTGATTTTCTTCATCCCCTAAAAAATAATTGCCTTTGTCCATTTTCTATATATAATACTCAAGTCCCATCTATCCCCATCTCTAGAAAAAGTATCTAAGTTCATTTTATGTGTGTATACTGGGAGGATGGTCGCCAGATGTTGTCCATGGGTGTTCGTCATCACTCTATTGTGATAGTAAATTGCTTCTAGAGAATTATGATGACCCTCAAATTCAAGATATTATGACTGTTGTTTTCAAATTAATTTAAAAGCTTCAATTCTTTTGTGTTTATAAACCCATTGGTTTCTCCACCAATTCCTCGTAGAACTAGAATAAATCAAGTTCTTTTAATTACTCACCCTTTATAAAACCATTTATTAATCATGTATAAAAGAGGTTTAGTAAACATGCATGAAGCTTCAGTGGACAATCTTTAAATATGTGATCAACGGATTCATCAACTTCTCCATACAAACAACATTTTATATCAACTAGAATCCATTTATAAGCTAGTCTTTCGTTTACTAAAGTTATGTTCTTACAAATGCTCCAGACGTACAGTTTTCTATACTGATATACTTGCACTGCAGTCAGAGATATTATAACGATGGTAATAATTATATTATTAATACTACATATGTTATAGTTAAACATTCAATTTAATTTTTTTTCTCTATATAATTCATATTAATTTACCTTAAAATATCTAAAAATGTTATTGATAAATTCTGTTTTTGTTTGGGATTGAGAGGAGGGGGGTTGGGGGGCGGTGTTTAGAAATTTCAAGGTTTCGTAACTTCAACTAGATGCATGATATTGACCCGTCATGAACGTTGATTTTGCTTTAGAGCTGATAAAGAGAGGCCCGAACAAGGATCGAAATACAAGAGTTCTTGGCCACCACTTCCTCCACTTCTGGCAATAACTACTATAAACAGGTGGTAGGAGGGAGAAGCATGTTTAAATGGAATAAAGCATTGTTTGGCAAAAAGAGGACCAGACGGAATGTTTTGCAGGGATCAAGATTTACTTTAAAGAGTTTGGACTTCTACGGCGAGGATTGGAAATGTCGAGGTGGTGGAAAATAGAGAAGTCAGAATAAATTGCCGATCAGTAAATTGAGATAGAAAGGAAGAAAAAATATTTAAGAGAGAGAGAGAGAGAGAGATAAGAGAGAAAGAAGTAATTAAAAACTGGCTGGAAATTGATATTACCTATACTTCAATTCATGTGATTTCATTTTATATATTTTTATAGTATATGTAAATGTTGTTATATGTATATAGATACTTATATAGTTATATATAATTTGTAAAATGTTGCTAGTTTGTATATCACACTATGAAACCGTATATACAAGAGAAGAGACAAATATGATCATACATAAACTAGTTTTCTCAATCTACCGGGCAAACATGGTTTATACAAAAGAGAATTTTTTCCGGCAATTCAACTAATAATTTTGAATGGCCGGCTTGGCCATAAATTTCAAATCACGAGTTGTACCCGTTTGATACAATGAAGACACGATCGTTAAGCTTGGTTGCATGAAGGAAACTCACCTTGCAAAGCAGAAGTCAAGAAGCATATATTTTAGAGGGTAATTAGCCATTGGGTAGCTAGGAACTTGGTGAAGAAACAATGCCAATCTCCAGCTGGTTTAATTTTGTCCTCTCTTGTACTTAAGACATTCACAAGAAGATAAATAAATTACGTGAATACCAAAGGTTAATATCCACCAGAAAGAAACAAAAAATCGATTATCACAAACCCACAAGAAACAGAGCTAGGTGAAAAGTGCTTTTTTCTTCATCAACCCATGCAATATAAGTACCCCCCCAACTTCTCTTAATACAAAGCACAGTTTTTTTAACTCTCAAGTCACCTCCATGGCTAAGGCTGGTTGGTCTCTCTGTTCCCTCATTCTTGCAACACTTCTACTGCAATGCTGCTCTCTCGAAGATGATAGGAAGGTTACACATCTTTCTTCTTCTTTTCCCTATACTACACATATCTTAGTTATGTATGTAGCTACTATTTATGGATGAAAATATGTGCATGTATATAAACTCTGAGTGAAAATTTGATTAGTTAAATATAATAAAGCTAAATGCATGCTTGCATATACAAGGTTCATATTGTTTATATGGGAGATCGACCAAAGGACAGCGCATTGGTGGCATCGACACACCACAGCATGCTAGCACATGCAACTGGCAGGTTAATTTTGGTCCTCTTAAATCACGATAAATCTTAATTGAAAGATGCACACGCTTGTTTCAAAGAGAAATGAGCCACTGAGAATGGTCATATAATATCCATTTGCAGTAAGCGTTTGGCTAGAGAGTCACTTATCTATAGCTATGGGAAGAGCTTTAATGGATTCGTCGCCAAACTTTCTGACACAGAAGTTGCAAGGATTTCAGGTACATAGATCACATCAACCTTGTATTGCGTGTGTGTGTGTGTGTGTATATATATTGTGAATTGATTCCTTGATTTCTAGCTCTACTTACTTTTGCCGGTATTGAACTACAGATATGGAAGGCGTAATTTCAGTGTTTCCCAACACGAGACTGCAAATTCACACTACAAGATCATGGAATTTCATGGGCTTTGACCAACCACATTCAGTTTTTGGTACCGAATCAGATGTCATCATTGGACTGCTAGATACAGGTAAAAAACAAAACCACTTACAAACGTAAGTGTATTGATACAATGTAGATACTGACGTCTGACTTTCTATATGTTACTGATAAGCTAACTAATTATTAACTCTCTATTGATTAACAACAAAGGTTTACATAGTTCGCAAGAAAGCAAATATATATATATATATATTTACCAGAACATTGCCCGTAATTATGCAGGAGTTTGGCCTGAAAATCCAAGCTTTGCCGATGATGATATCGGCCCACCCCCTGCAAAATGGAAAGGGATATGCCAGGGAGCAAATAATTTCACCTGCAACAAGTAAAATTTCTCTTCTCTTTGTTGATCAGTTGGATTTAAATAGAACAGAGAGGGAAGCTAATTGATCATAAAATCAAAACTCTCTGCAGCAAGGTCATTGGAGCTCGGTTCTACGACATAGAGAACATATCCTTACCTGGTTGGGACATAAATTCACCAAGGGATGCAGAGGGACATGGCAGCCACACTGCTTCAACAGCAGCAGGCAGAGAAGTTCAGGACGTAAGCTACTTCGGTCTTGCCAAGGGTGTAGCTAGAGGAGGAGTCCCAAAAGCAAGAATTGCCGTATATAAAGTGTGCTGGCTACAAGGCTGCACTGTGGCAGACATTTTAGCTGGGTTTGAAGATGCAATAGCAGATGGAGTTGACATTATTTCGGTTTCATTAGGATCAGACTGGCCTTCCCCATACCACAAAGACCCCATTGCTATTGGCACTTTCCATGCCATGAGAAATGGGATTTTAACTTCTTGCTCTGCAGGAAACAGTGGGCCGTACAGAGGACAGGTCTCAAACTATGCACCCTGGGCACTGACAGTGGCTGCAAGCACAATTGACAGAAGTTTTGTCACCCAAGTTGTCCTTGGAAATGGGAAAACCTTCCTGGTTGGTTTTGATATTCAATTCTCTTAAAGCAACTAACTTTCTTCTGGATTCGATTCAGTCTATTCTTGACTGACGAATGTTCTTTCTTGCTTGCTTCTTGAAAATTAAAAGGGAACATCACTCAACTCCTTCAATCTTACAAAGACAACATTCCCATTGGTATATTCAGCAGATGCAGCAAATTATACCTTGGGGATTGATGATGAGATTGCTAGGATCTGCTTCCCTGGAACTCTGACTCCACTTAAAACCAAGGGAGCAATCATCCTCTGTGATGTCCTTTATGATGGCTCAGTAGCCATAGATGGCGAAGCTGTAGGTGTTATAATGCCTTCTTCTTTTGAGGATTTAGCATTTGCTTTCCCTGTACCAGTGGCAGTCATCAGCTACGAAGATCATGATCTCGTACTCGACTACATCAAATCAGCAGAGTAAGCCTATTCATTTGCTTTGTTCATAAACATCCTATTCTCGGTATATTTTTGAGGTTTAAATCCTAGTATCCAAAAGTACAAACTTTGAGATATCAGATTTTGGTACAGTAGTTTGAGCTCAAAGAATCTATTGGCTTAAGTGATGTAGGCACAAGATTTACAAGTTATAACTTCCTTGGATGAAACTTCAACTGGTTCATGAAAGTGTTAGTGTTGGCATCCTAATGGAGATTTTGATTCTGGTTCAGGAATCCTACAGCAACTATTTTGACAACCGAGACATGGACGGATATCATGGCCCCTTCAGTGGTCTTTTTCTCATCACGAGGACCAAGCCCCATCAGTCCTAATATCCTCAAGGTACATATAAACACTCTCTCGTATAACAATTTCTCATAAAAGAGATTTCTGATACTTACCCCGTCTGTACAAAAAGCTAAAACAGGTTTTTAGCAGAGCACTGCAAGAAACCAGCTCTCCGTGCTTCGTTTCTGCAATAATACTCAGCTCGGGATTGTCTAACATGGATTTCTTTGAATGATAAAACAGCCTGACATTACAGCACCTGGAGTTAACATTCTTGCAGCATGGTCTCCCCTTGGT